ATAAAGTGACTTTCATGTGCAGAGATCTCAAAACAGGATTAACTGTAAAGTGTAGTGACTGTATTTTGTAGGCAAACGCAAGCAGAGAACAATAATTTGGGATGCAGTGAGACAGCAGAACAAATAGGCACGGGTTTAGGGTTTCAAAAGCAATTTCAGGAAAGATATCAGGAATTATTTCTTTATCCAGAGGATAATTAACACTGGAACGGGTAACCAGGAAGGGTGTTTGAGAACAAGAATCTGGACTCATTTAAAAAATAACACCTTGAAGTTGTAATGGAAGGACCTCATTTCTGAACCTCACTGTGATCTTGTGATGCATATGCAGTCAAGAGACACAGCCTGAAGTTGTACAGTATCGGTGCAAAGACATTCTGTAAAAATTCACCATTACCTAATTTGAGAAGAGTAATCACAGACTAAAGAAATCTGCACAAAACAAGCTCTCAAAAAATTATCTGCTACCAGCAGACACCACCTAAAATATTATCCAGGAATGCTAATGCAATAGCATTCCTTTCGACTTAATAGTTATCTGAATCTACCAGTTTCATTGAAACGTGGCAGAAAGAATCCTGGGAGGCAGTGAGCAGAAAAATATGATTTCCATACAATATTAAAGAATAATGCATAAGTGTAATTTGCGGTTCTATTGCTAGAGGCAAGCTGTGCTTGGGGACAGCAAGACAAATGCTGTCAAGTGAGAGCGCAAACAGTACTCTTACTTGTAAATGCTCTTCTCTTCCACACACGTTGAACCAACATCGATTCTTTATAACAACAACTTGCATTTACTTAGCACTTTCACTCAGCGCTTCACAGTAGCGGAATCTGACAACCAGCCAGGGGGAGAGAGAGGGGATAGGTGACTGTAAGCACAATCAAAAAGGAAGGTCTTTAGGTGGGTTTTGAAGGTGGGGAGGGAGAAGGCAAGGTGGACGGATTGAGGGAGAGAGTTCTAGAGTTTGGGGTGAGGTGGTTGAAGGCATGGTCATCTATGGTGGAACCTCCGCAAGAGGGACAAATAGGAGGCTGGAGCCAGCGAAACAGAGGCAGCGGGTGGTGGACTGGGGGGGGGGGGAAAGCAGGTTGGATAGGTAGGGAGGTGCGAAGGTATTAAGTGATTTGCAAAAGATCCTCTTACCGCAGTGTGTAGGATCCTGCATTTTCACTTTGCTCTTGAGGAGCATATTCATGCAATCTTAGATAAGGAACACATGCAGATGGGAATGATGGAAGGTTGTAATTCCTAAGAAGCCTATTTCTCCCATAGATGATAGATCTATTTGGGCTTCAATTAACCCATGATTGATATTGAAAGTTCCTTTCCTACATCTGCCTCGCCACACAAGGACAGATTTCAAAATTATCTTCAACTTTTAAAATTTACTATGAACCTGCACTGGTTTATGATCATATTGCTGAGCTCCCAAAATAGCTTCATGCCATGCAATCACCTGGAATTCAGCAGTACTAAATAATAATCCAGCTGATAGCTTAATAAATGTGAAAGTTCACCAGACTGAAGAGGAAACGAGATCATCATCTCTACTGAAACGTACCTCCAGGACAACACATCATTCCGAGAATCATTCTTTTTGTTTTTCAAGAGACAACTCTGAATGGAGTTTGGTGTCTAGCAGCCATTAACAGCAACAGATCCATCAGCCTGACATTTCCATGTACAACATCAATATCATATCACCTTCTTTTAAACCCTCTGAATGCTGCTAAACACTGTGTGTAGTTACTTTCTCATAACATCTACTGGATATAATTTTCTGCAAATCATAAGCATTTGAATGTAATGAAAATTAATGTAAATATTGTAAGTTTGCACGTTGGAATTTCTGTTACAGTATTCTCTGAATGACCCAGATTATTTTTATAGCTGAAAGACTATATTGCAATAGGGTTAAGATAAGAATCACACTGCATTAAACTGCTATAACCAACCATTTTAAATGAAATGTTAGGGTCATCTTCAGTTTATTGCTACAACTCCTGCAAGGCAGAGAATAATATTTTAGTCGGCCTTTGAACCTTCTGTGTTGAGATCTGGGATCTACAGACTGCTGCAATCAATTGTGTTGATGTGGTCTGCGAAAACAACTACACATCTGAGTTCTACTGCATAGACTTGCTTGAACCTTACTGCTAAGATATAGGTTTAAAAAAGAAAATTATACAGCTTACTGCATCAAAAAGCATGAGGTTATGCTATTGGGAACATTCTGAGCCACTGAAATGTGAAATCAGCCTTGTAGAACAACAACTTGCACTTATGTAGCACCCTCCACACAGGGTGGTGTCTCAGAGCACAGTGACAGAGCTAACTCCAAGCCGCGGGTAGCGGCTGAATACGCGACCTCCAATGGTGGAGCGGAGGCCACGAGGGATAAGCAGGAGACCTGTGTCAGTCGAGCGGAGGTGTTGGGTGGTGGTTGGGGATTGAGGAAGTTGGAGAGTTAAGGAGGTGCCAGGGAGTGAAGGGATTTGAACATGAGAGTGAGGATCTTGAAGTCGATCCATTCAGTGATGGGGAGCCAGTGGAGCCTGGGACAGAACTGGTGAGATGTGGGTAAGGCGTTTGGTCCAGGTCAGTATGCGGGCGGCAGAGTTCTGAATGAGCTAGAGTTTTTTGAATAGTGGAGCTGGGGAAACCAGCGTTTGAGTAACCCAGGCGGGAGGTGACAAACCCATGTATGAGGGTTTCCGCTGTATTTGGGTTAAGGTACGGTCGTAGGCGGGCAATGTGGAGGAAGCGGTCCTGATCAGGGACCAGATGTGGGGAAGGAAAGATAGCTGGCGATCGAAACGGATGCCTACACTGGTTCAGGGAGGTTGAGGAGTTCAGATTCGTAGGAGTGAAAAAGTTGACGGGAGCCAAGGAGTATGGCTTCCGTCTTGTCCACATTCAGCTGCAGCAAGTTTGCACTCATCCAGGCCCTGAAGTCTGCCAGACAAGCTGATAGAACATCAGTGGACCTGGAATTGGTACTAATGTAGTTTGCACTTCTGCCTACAAAATAGGAAAAATGTACGTACAGTAAACCTCACATAAGTCATATCAATTGGGGCCATATATTTAATATGGCTTACGCAAAGTATGAGTTATGTTAAACTTACCTAGAATCTAAATTCTTGAATGGGACTTGGGCAGATGTATGACTTAGGCGATTATACGATTTATACAGGTCAGATTTATGCGAGTTTTACTGTATTGCATATTTGCCTCAAGGTATTTATTTCTATGTACCAGACATACAAATGACTAATGAGAATTGTAGCCTAGTGGTTAGAGCATTAGCAAGCGAGAAGAGCTGGGTTTGATTCCTGGGCAGTGCAAAACCTTGGGCAAGTTTCCTTACTTCATATGTCTCTGTTTACCTAGCAGTGAGTAGGAACCCGGTTGTTAGTCAATTGGCAGATCGCATTTCCGGGGGTAATAATCCCTTCAAAAATAAATAAATAATAATAATAATTTGATCACTCAATCCATAACTGCTTGTGGGACACTGCTGTGTGCAATTGGCTGCCACGTTTCGCCCACAAAATACACAGTCAATTTACTTTACAGTACATTTTGTGAAGTGCTTTGAGACGTCTAAAACAAGTGATAAGGCGCCATATCAAACGCAGGTATTATTATTATGATCCATTAAACATTCTGCAAACATTCTACTATCCCCTCGCAAAAAATTATGAAGTGAACTCAGCATTCTGTCTTATGGGTGGATGCACTTAGCAACATTCAAATAAAACTGAATAGTATCAAAATAATTTACTAAGCAGCTTAGAACAGAAAAAAATAGAAAAATACATCTAGACTAATGCAAGAAACAAACAAGGGCTTGGGCCAGCTCTTACAATAAATCCCTCCTCCTTGCTAAAAGTCGTCAGGCACTGACTGCATCGATCTGCATGGGTGCTCACTCCAGCTCATGGTGCCAGTGCAAAACCTCCGTGTTTGTTCAACCTTTAAGCATCCTTCAAACCCTACATCCAGGTCTCACTCACTCAGCTTTCCCCTCACCTACACAGCATCACCCACTTCCGCCATGACCTCTCGCTCCTTCTGCAAAGGCCCTCATTCAAGCTTTCATCACATCTAGCTCAACTTTTGAACATCCTGCTCGCCTGACTCCCCAGCCACTCTCTACATAAGCTGCAGACTATCCAGAACTCTGCAGCCCACATCCTCTCTCGCACTAGGCTCTGGGAACCCATCACAGCTCAGCTCCGCTGACTTCCCAGACGATCTATTTCAAGATTCTCGCCTGCAATTTCCAAACCCTCCATGACCTCATCCCAACCTACATCTGTTATTTCCTGTGCCCCTACCACCCCAAACCAGTCCCTCCACTCAGCAAACACCAGTCTGTTTTATTTCCCTGACCCAATCCACCCTACCACTGCTGGGTGCGAGACACAGTGGCACACAGAGAGATTTATATATATGTATATATAAAATTAAATAATAGAAAGACACAGATTCTTAAGTAAACTGAAAAAAAGGAAAATAGGTGACTGCAGTCTTGTGGAAAAGGTACTTCCTACCTTTGGGAATGCAACAGCTAACTTGCATGCTAGTTTTAAAACAATATAAAATAAGCTGATCTGTTGAGACATTTTATCTAGCAAAAGTATTCACGTGGAAATAAATAACTCGAACTCCCCAATGATCCCTTCGAAAGAATGAGCATTCTTGTCGGGGAAGGCAATTGGGCAGAAATATTAAACCTAAATTGCATGCACCAGAACACGCATCTCGTGGGCAGACTTAAGACAAGACTCCTTGTGTTTCTTAAAGCACAGCCTTATTGATTCAGTGTAATCCATCACTCCATAGTCCCTGTAAAGCCCAGTAAATCACACTGTCAGAACATTTCCCATGTAACATCCATAACAAGCATCATGGCATTCCATCTAGTAAACCTACTTGTTTATAAAAACAAACAATTAAGGGGAAGATTATGAGAAATAAATCAATTTACCTTCAAGAAAAACCTTTTATCTGTTCTGGCAGGATTGTAGGAGGAAAGGTAAGCAGCAAACAGCAGGAATTTGGAGTAATACGGAAGTTCAATGTGTGCATGAGCAGAAAGTCCTGGAGGTGAAAATATAAAGGTAAGAACAAGGAAATCACGATACAGGGTTTGCAGTCTTTTGATTGGCAAAAATATTGCTAATACGTGTTAACAATCCAGGACACTGTTACCAATGAGGAATCATATCTTGTAACAATGCAGCATTACACCAATAATGGATATCTGGAAATGATTATAAAGCAGTAATCTATTGAGAGGTTCATTAACCACAAGAGTGAATTAGAAATACTTCATAATAACTCAACCTTGAGAGGCAATACAAGCTTCGAAATTCACTTGCATCTAACTAACTTAAGTAAAGCAAAATAGACCACTGAGCTAATTTATTTTTATGGTGCACTCTTGAATTTATGGGGCAATTTAGTTGGTTGAACAGTGTATTGACGCAACAATTCAGTGCTATACTGAAGGTAACATGCATCATGGCCAAGAAGTGATCATCACAAAACAATTTTTAAATCATTTAAATAAAGCATTTGTTATGAACCCAAACGTTTTGAAAATGCAGGAAAAAAACACTCATTAAAAAATTAAGTTGGGCCCAACAGCAAATCTGCGATAGAACCACATTTTAAACATTTTCACGTTATTGCTCTTACAAACCAAAATCCACATAAACATATAGACTGGATTATGAGATTGATCAACTATCAATCTAAAAGACGCTGATGTATTAGAAGCCTAGTTAGCAGGGTTTCAGAAGCAAGAGAATTTTCTTATAAAACTTACTGGAATTTTATGAGGAGAAATATCTATCTGACTGGCCCACTTATTCATAAAGCGTATGACAAACTTCCTCATCCGGGTCTTTAAAACAATTTGCTGTTTAATGTTCAAGGAATAAATGGTAAATTTTCCCCATGATTTGAAATTTGGTTGCACAATAGGAAAAATAGAGTGGTGATACATGGCAAATGCTATGCCTAAGAAGCAGTAACCAAGTAGAGAAAGGCAATGGAAAGGTTCGATTTCAAGATGATAATATTGAATTTGATTTGCTGAGGGATGGGGAGTCAATGGAGCTGAGCAAGGATAGTGGTGATGGGCTCATTGAATCCAGTACGGTCAACGTAGGAAAATTGGAGCTCAATTAGTAATGGTCCTGGAATCAAAGATAGAGCCAATGAGTTCAGTGTCACTCGCAAACATATGGAAGTGCTGTGATGAAATCACCAAGTGGGAACATATAGATGGTGAAAAGGAAAGGACTGAAGACCGAGCCTTGAGGATCTCTGCATGTGACTGTGCAAGGACAGGATGTGAAGCCATTGGAAGAGACAAAGTGATTTGAAAGGTCAAATGAGAGTTTCTTGAAAGTAGGAGTACTGAACCAGTGGAGAGGTTTTTAATGTCCGCTAGGAGAGAAAGCTGGGTGGCCAGAAGTATGGGGATGGAGCATAGGGAGTCCATTTAAGGACAACATTTTCCTATTCTTAGCAAATGTCGTTGCTCTGCTGAACAAACAAGTTTCTGTCACCATCAAGTAAAATATTGCCAAACTAAATCTACTTTTAAATATCACTGATCTGTTATAATATAAACTCAGGAGCAAGAGTGGGTTTAAATCTAAAGTATATAAGTGTACATTACATTTTAAATACAGTTAAGCAATTGTTACTTAAAATGTTTCTCGAGGCTGCTGCTCAAAGGAGCTTTATTTAATGATTAAGGAGTTCTTGGGATGGAAATTCATTCCATATCTTCCTGTAGCCCTGGAAATCATTAGGAATATTATTAATTTAAAGAGCATATCATGAATTAATTAACTTTTAGATTGTTAGCCAAATCCACTACTTCCCTTTAGCAGAAATTGAAGGTCAAAGATTCTTTCAGCCAGCCAAACTGAAGGGAGAAATATACCTTGATAATAGAATTGAGAGTGATTATCGGAGTGTTAAAGAGGACCAATTAGGAATCAAATAATAATAATAATAATCCTTGCATTTGATAAAGCGCCTTATCACGTCTTTGAGACGTCTCAAAGCGCTTCACAAAATATACCTTTCAGATGACCCTCTTCTTTATCCTCCTTCTGCAGTTTCTCCCACTGAGAACTAAAATAGAAATAAAGTAAGTACAGTTAAAAAAAACACTGAGGTAGCGGGATCAATAGTTTTTTTTCTTTTACTGCAAACTATTTTAATACTATACCGCAATGCCTTTCTCAATTCGTGCTTGAAAATAGAGAAACACACAAATTCTCCAACTTTTTCAATCTTAAGAACACAATCTTTTTCAACATTAGGAGCAGAAATTCCATATACTGAGGTATTAAAACATATTTTTTTAAAAATTGGTCACTTCAATCCACGACTGTTTGTGGGACACTGCTGTGCGCAATTGGCTGCCACGTTTCGCCCACAAAATATAGTCAATTCACTTTACAGTATATTCTGTAAAGCGCTTTAAGACATCTCAAAGACATGCAAGAATTATTAGATTCCTAATTGGTCTTTAACATTCTGATAATAGGTCTCAATTCTATTATCAAACACTAGTTATTATTATTATTATTATTAGTAAAAAGGCAATAGTCTGTGGCAATAACCTTACATTGTTGTTTCTCCTTCCCAAGCATTATACACATACGGTTACACTCAAAATCTTATTTTAATTATTAAAAAGTTACCTGGAGATTTCTCTTAGGTAAACGGTTTGCATTGCTTTTTTCAGATGGGGTTCAATGTTTTTATAGAGGCGATGCACATCTTCTTCTTTCGCTTGAGGAAAAAACATTTGTTTTTGAAAACATGACTGCTGATTATGGTAGATCCCTACAGTTGCACTTTCCAACGTTACATGACCATTTTCATCAGGATAATCCTTTCTAACAGGCAAGCCATGTTGGGGGATACTCTAATATCCACCTGAATAAAGATATTTAAAAACAGATTCCTCCCCCCTTGAAACTTACCTTTGCCTTTCAACACAGGTTCACAGAACTTTGGAAAATTTAGTGCAGCCTAAAACAGAACAAAATAAACAAAATAAATTGTAATCAACAAAAAGGAGTTATTACAAAGACAAGCTTGTTTAGTCTATTTATAAACAAAGATTAAGTAAACCAGTTATTCAATGTTCAATACATTAAATTATGTAAACAGCTTCCTAATCAAATGAAGGGCCACTTATAACATGTACTGCAAGTGCTCCAGTATTGGCTGCAAAACACAGCGGCCAACATTCTGATAAAACTAAACCGAATGTTAGCCCATTTGCAACTCACATACAGTGATAACAATACCAATGTGCCTATAAATAATAGAAAGCTCAATTCTCAGGGTATGAATATAGAATTAAAAATAAAAATGTGACCTTGAACGAGAAATGAAACCATGGCCATTGAGATACATAAAGCGACTAATCCAAATGATACATAACCTCTGGCATCGGATCACATTTGCCCTTCTCCTCAGGATGAACTAAATTGTTGTTGCACAACTGCAATTTCCAATTTAGCAGCCAGCCAGGTAAGCAAAGCATGGATGATGTGTATCAAATACTATGAGACATGTCCATTAATATCAACCTTCTCCTGCTTTTAATACTAGAATGCCTAATATTTGTTGATGCCTCCTTTCAATTTCTGCTACATATTACTTAATGGTGAATGTCTTGTAGAGTATTCCAGTCTTCGCATATACTTAAGCTTAGGAATTCAGTTAGTCAGTAATGCTATTATACCATATTGAGTGGTTTCGTACACATACCGTGTTAGTATTCTCCCACTGAATCACCTTCTGTTCGCCAATGTATTTTTAGATACCCAAATAGAGGCGTACGGATCAAATAAATGCCCGCTAATTTGCCGCAACAACCAGTCTCCATAAAGAGAATTCAACCTGGAGCTTCAGGAAGGCTATACATTCTAGATTTTAGTTTCCTATTTTGTGAGTGTTGAACCCTTGATTGTAATTCAAGGAAAACAATCTAGTTTGACTTTAAGTAAATTTCCAGTGAAAGCGACCCAGATACAAATGTTCTCTCAAAATTTTTAAAACGCTGGATCTGCCAAAAGTAGTTTTTGGAGGGAAGGCTTTAATTCCTAATTGACACCGAAGTAGTAAAATGATACAACTATGTTAATGTGCACGATCCTGCATGAAGGGCGTTTTGCCCACAAAATATACAGTCAATTCACTTTACAGTATATTTCTGTGAAACGCTTTGAGACGTCTCGAAGATGTGATAAGGCGCTAGATCAAATGCGAGGATTATTAAGTACAGCAAGTTGTTGTTGGAGTTTGTGGAAATCCTGATAACTAGCCCAACATAACTCGTCGCTCACTCAATATCCCGGCTATTTCCCATAAGGAATTTAATTTGGATCCTATGATAACTAGTCACCCTGGATATCTCGAAACTTGTCAGGTTTTCGCACTTTTAAGAGGTGTAAAGTACCTCTGATAAATCATCATTTTATTAGGTCTTCAAATCGCAAGGCCAATTAAATAAACTTACCAGGAATTTTCAAAAGGTGTGAATAATGCAAAATGTGCTGATACTTGGATCAGTCAGGAACATTAGAAAAAAATACTGCTGAATGCTATAGTACAAATTACTAAAACCTTAGACGTTCCATGAAAATTTAGCAGTTCCGAGTGCAAGACTTGTTTTTTTTATAAAACAAACACTATTCTGCTTCTGCTGACACTCTTATTGCCTGGAATTCATACTGCAACAAACACAAATTAATACACTTAGCCAGAAGGTTTCACTGTAAACCAAAAAAAGTTTGGAAATGTCAATTGCACAAATTAGAAAGCCGAGCAATTTCAAGAAAATTATTATTCACTATAAATGAAGCCGTAAAGTGATTGTAAGAGTAACTAAGCTTAATGATTCACTCTCAAACAAATGAAGTCTTTGATATTCTAATCAAAACATATTTCAATCACAAATTAGCCACTTTGGAGTTGCGGACAGCAAACGGCTGTTAATTCATAACACAAGAAGGCTTTAGAGAGAATACCGCTTCCTCTCCTCCCAACCCTACCACCTGCAAATTAAATAAACTTAATTCTCCTCCCCCAATTAAATAAACTTACCAGATGTCGGAGTTCTTTCAGATCTCTGCAGACCATATAGAACACACCGAGAAGAATGTTAATATAGGAAGTGTAAAAATCAGCACAGAACTCTTTAGGATGGTCGTGTGTAAGAATTTTCAGAAGGTCAGCTGAAGTTAAGAAAACAAGATGGTTTAAGTAACTAATTTCTCAGTAGATTCTTCTTTTATTATTCAACTTATGTACCTTAACAATAACACTATACAGTATATGGCTCCAAATCATACATACTATAAAACCTCGAAATGTAGAACCCAGTGAATTATTTTAACACCTTGCTGGACAAGAGGAAAGTATTGTTAAGAGGAACAAGATGATCATTTAAAGAGCGAGGAAACTTGTGTGTGGAGGGGAGTAGTTTACATCGGAAGTAACCACATGATTGTTGTACCTTTACAAAAAAACCTTGATTGGTTTAGATCTCCAGGACCCAACTACTGTGCTGCTTGCCTTCTCTTACACTTCTCTTACTCTTATGTCATTGATGGGCAGAATCAGTGCACTTCATGGGGTCTCTGACTAGTCTGCGAGTCAATATGGAGATTCTCCCAAGTTCATGAAAGCTTTTTCATTTGCCGGGATGCGTATGTGTACACGACATTCTATTATCTCGTATAACAGGAGGACACACTGAAAAGAAAGCACTCCCTGTCCTGTATTTACAAAGCTCTTTGAGACATTCTCCCAGTGTGAAAGGCACTATACAAGTGGAACCTATTGCTAATGATATCACACATTACACACCATTGGTCAGACCCCGAGGAACTCTAGTGAACAGTCACCTGTGTGATTCAACACACTTAGGAAGCATCTACCAGCCATCCAACATGTTCAAATGCATCCTTAAAATATTTCAATTAATTTATTAGGCATGACCAAGCTTCACAAACCCATGCTGGTCTGAAATTGCCTCTAATCTTATTAATCGCTTTTCAATTACTTCCTCTATAATTAATTCTGATCTTTTGCCTATTCGAACTGTCAAGCTTTCAGGCAAAGTATTCCCAAGGTTATGTTTCGTACCCATATTAATTGATCGCCAATTCTTTGATTTTACCCCAATATTTAATGAGTTAAGAAAACAGTTACCCTTCATTTCAGTCCTCAATTCCTCTTGAATACATTCTGTCTGAACTGTTTGTCATTGAATATTCAATATCTCAACTTCTTAAAGACAATTTCATTAGTAACGCACATTACCTTCACAAACTCAGATGCACCTTCTTTGCTCCAATTACATAAAGGAACCACCCACAAAATGATCTCAAATTTGTAGCATCACTTTTCCTCTCCATTAACTCACCGCTCTTATCTCTAAAGGGCCAACTTGTTCTAGATTTGTAGCATTCAAAGTTAAAATAAGCCTAAAAAAGAAGTCTCTCTCCCGACTTCTTTTCCATTTTTTTCTCCAATCTTTCCTTTTATACAAGATCATTCTTGTATCAGTAATTAATTTTGTTAATTAACCCTCGCTCGCCTCCACTGGCTCCCCATCCCCCAGAGGATTGATTTCAAGATCCTCATCCTCACCTACAAGGCCATTCACGGCCTTGCTCCCTCCTACCTCTCCAACCTACTATCCCCCTACCTACCTGCCCGTACCCTCCGTTCCTCTGGCTCTGGTCTGCTCCACGTCCCCCGCCTCAACCGCCCTACTATCGGTGGTCGGGCCTTCAGCCTCTCAGCCCCCAGGCTCTGGAACTCCATCCCCAGTGCCTTCGCCTTGCTTCCTCCCTTTCCTCCTTCAAGGCCGGTCTCAAAACCTTTCTCTTTGACCGTGCCTTCAGCTCCCCTCTCGACTCTCTTCCCCCTCCTCGCTCCCTCCCTTCCCTCCCCTCACCCTGACCATTTCCCCCCTCCTTGCTCCCTCCCTTCCCTCACCCTGACCATTTCCCCCTCCTCGCTCCCTCCCTTCCCTCCCCTCACCCTGACCATTTCCCCCCTGCTCGGGTCATGACCCAACTGTGCAGCGCCTTGGGACGTCCTCCTGACGTGAAAGGCGCTTTATAAATGGAATCTTGTTGTTGTTGTTGTTTCGACATTTTTTCAATCTCTCTCCCTCCTCATTTTCTTAACACTTTTGAAGCATTTCTGTCAGCAGTTAAGACACAAAATCGAGAAGTCTCACTTGCAATTGTTATTAAATTCAATTAAATTTCTCACTAACAATTGTTATTTAACCCAGTTATCTAACCTCATTAACTTCAGAGTTTTGTCCCCCCTCTCTTTGGTTAACAGGCAAAAACACCTCAAAACAAACCTGTTATTGGCCATATTACTAATGATTCCTCAGTAGAAATCTGTATGGTCTGTTACACCAAGAACTGGCACAAAGCAACCAATTTCTCCACCCCCCACCAGTGTTCTACTGTAGTTTCTCAGAGGAGGACAACAGTATGCAGTAGATAATGTGATCACCTTCAGCCAAACAGGGTTTTCCGTAATATCTAACTCAAGTTAAAAGGCAGTCAAATTTCAATCATTGTAGGAAATGTGACTAGATACCAGTACAAAAGAATATTAACAACTTTGTCTTCCTATTCCTATTTTAGAAGAACATACTTTGCCCTCCCATCTCCTCAGCAGATTGTTGTAGCACAAACAATCTATGCATTTCAAAGATGCTGATTTCATAAAATAATAATAATAATCCTTGCATTTGATATGGCGCTTTTCACGTCTTCTAGACATCTCAAAGCTGTAAAGTGAATTGACTGTATATTTGTGGGCAAAACACGGCAGCCAATTGTCCACATCAGTGTCCCACAAACAAATGGATTGAAGTGACCAATTTATTATTGTTTTTTTTCTTGAGGGATTATTATCAAGCGCGTGGAGTAAGGATATTTGCCCAAGCTTTTGCCCTGCCAGGAATCAAACACAGGTTTCTCGCTTGCGAGGCGAGCGCTCTAACATGTGGGATTTATATTTATTGCTAAAATGTTCAGATGGAAACAATTACTGGGAAATAGAAGCATATGGATCAAATTTAAAGGAAAACATAATACGTATATTATTTCACCCACAAATATACAGTCAATTACTTTAAAGTATATGCTGCGAAGCACTTTGAGACGTCTGGAAGACGTAAAAAGCGCTATATCAAATGCAAGGATTATTATTACTATTATTACTCTGACATAACACCAAACATAAAAGAGGTAATACAATACTATAATAATAACCCTTGCATTTGATTTAGCGCCTTATCACGTCCACGAGACGTCTCAAAGTGCTTCATAAAATATACTGTAAAGTGAATTGACTGTATATTTGTGGATGAAACGCCTATAAGCTGCATGGAACAAGTGCTAAAATCAGTAGTTTCATTCAAAGGCAAGCAGTCAGCTAGGCTTGTGGAAGGCCTTCTTACTCGTGTATTGTTCATGTGCTTCCAAATTGCCATACAAACCTGATTTTGTACAGCAATTTCAGTGAAGTTGCTAAGCAACAAGATCTTTATGCCCATCTCTCTAACAGCAATGCTCTCTTTGATTGGCATTCAGAAATTTATCAAATAACAGTATTGTACTACACAGCCTGAAACATCTCCAGTGTTACAGATCATATCTTAAACAAACTAAAGGTTGCATTTTGAACGCAAGGTATTAAATTATTTAGGGCCTCATACTCTTTTAAGTCTTTTGTTTAGGTCTGCCTCACTACTATTCATGGATAATTATCTGAGATTGAATATACCTGCTCCAAGACCTCTGGTACATATAACCACCCACAAGTAGGTACACCAGAGTAATGTGTTGCCCCAATCTTTATTTTCTCCCTTTGGAAAACTGCAAGACTCTGATTACTCAGGTGAATCCATAAACTCACATAATGAGGTATCACAGACCCATCATTTTGCAGCTGAGTGTGTTGGTACACCAACAAGACTCTGCAGCATCAAGTAGCCCAAGAACTTTAAATATTCTTCCAAATATTTTAATGAATAAATTTGAAACAAATGTAATAAATAATTTAATCATTTAAAAGATATAAATTCAATACTGAATTTCAAAGCTTTTTTAAAAAAACTGCAGTGATTCAAAACTTTAAAGTATACAAATGATATGAGCCAGGCAATATGTGTAAAAACATTTTGTTCACTAATTGGTACCACTTATTAATGTAGAAAAACTGTAGGAATAGTTTTACCTTTGCTGTAGTCAGGAAAGTACAGAGTTATAGGCTCAAAACAGCCTGTACTTGGGCGAAACTTTTCCCAGACAATTTCACTGAGGAAAATAACAGTGACATTTGTTTCAGCCTGTAAAAGACACAAAAACAAAGTCGATGCAATTATTGATACTCACATTATATATTTAATTAAAGTAAAACAAACTGGAGCTCTTTATACAATTGTCACAATTACAGTGAATGGAAGCAGAACCACATCTCAAGTGCATATCGGCTTTCATGACAACTATTGCTGCGTAGAGGCTGCCTTTAATCAAACTATTTTCATTTTAATTAATTTTGTGCCCAAACCTAGTCAGTCAACCTGTAAATGATTTTATCTAACCCTCATCCAATTTAGTTGCCTTAGGAACACTTAATTTTACTGCCACCACTTCACAATTATAGTATAGAGCACTTTTTCCATCAGGGAGATATCTCAAAGCTGACTCTAGGAGCCTGAACGGGGAAGGGGGAGGAAACATTAGGCCCATAATAGAAAGCAAAATTATACAATTCAGATGTTCAAAAGCTGTTCTGACTTATTCCAACTGCTGGTATAAATAAATCAGCTTTTAACTAAGCAAAGCCCACTATGGAACAACTAAAGCAATCCAATTTTCATACTACTGATTATGAAATGTGTACTTTTTTAATGATGAATTTTCCCCAGTGCTCATCAGTGCTTATGTGGAATGGGCAGATGTGGGCAGCATCCAAAGCCACATGAATTGGGTAAATAGATTCAGATGATATTTTTGCAGCTTGAGCCTCATTGCTATAAATGGTTAAATCTTATATCTCTTTCAAAAACAACTTTTTTCTGCTGGAAACACATTAAAGATGCATGTACAATATACATTTTTTTGGTTTGCTGGGCGACTGACACATGCAGAAACCCAATACCATGCTTAAGATAAAAAAAACCTTGCATTTGATATAGCGCTTTTCACGTCTTCGAGACGTCTCAAAGTGCCTCACAGAATATGAAGTGAATTGACTGTATATTTGTGGGCGAAGAGTATCCAAATCACAGCGGTTCCATACTTGTATGTCACCTACAAACAGAAATTTACATGTCTGGAATGGATGCACACTCCATTCCTGGAAGGACACACCTTGATTAACTAATTCTGGAGAATATTAGATGCAGGTTAGCGAGAGCCCTGGAATGTGTGTTGGGGTACTGATGGAGTTTAACAAGCTAAATGTACATAGCCTGCCACTGAGAACAACGATTATATAGACAGGGAGGAGTGAGGCCATTAAGGAATTTGAAGGCAAGGACAAGGTCTGAAAATCGATCCACTAGAATACTAAGAGCCGTTAGAACTTGGCAAAATCGTGGTTGTGTGGAACCTAGTATCTCAATATCTTTTAAAGGTGTCTTTGTGTATAATACAATCATTGACTTTTGATTTCTATAGTATCCAATTTGAAAAAGAGAAATGAAAAATAATTTGAAAATCTTCACACCTTCATTTCCCCAAAGGCTTTTTGGGGGATATAGAACCATAAATGCCAAATTAATGGCGTGGAAAGATTAAGGTTAAACTGTTTCCAGGAATGCATAAAATCCTATGTTTAAACACAAAATTCCAAATTAACAACATACAAAGCAAAAAAGAAAAATCTAAGAAATGCCTTTAATATATTTTCCTATCACAAGCTATTAACTTGTTCCTAAACCAACATACACGAATGAAGGGATTGAAAGAAGAAATCTTGCAGCTGATGATGAGAAAGGCAGTATAGAAATATTCCTCACTAACAGTGCTCCTACTTTTGACTGTCTTCCAAATATTACCATCGAGTCATTCACTATATGCAAGCGTAGCAAACTGTTTAGCTTTATTGCGCAGTCATTAAAAAAAGCAACATCTTGCTAATTTGGTTCAGTCAGTTTTGCCTGTTTACTGTACGACTGCATTTTACGTGGTCAGCATTCTACATGCACAATAAACTCAAGAACATAAACAAGACCTCGGTTTGAACCGTAATCCAAAGGACGTCATCTCAAGCAATGCAACCCACTCCCAGTACTGATGTGGAAGTCAGCATAGACTATGTGAGTTATTCCGATACCTATTCAATCGGGATAGCTTTCCCCTCAGGAGTGCAGGACATTAAGGCCAATTCTAGCAACCCAAATGCTTCTCCCTCTGAGATTAGCGAACTCAACACAGTCTGAGTATCAAATATATAACCTTCTAATCTGTGTACTTCAGTGTTAGATCCTGACCCACAATCAAACCCTAAACGTTTCTTACACTTCTCCATAGCGAAATAAAAAAAACCTAGTCCACAACAAAACAGTGAGCAAATACTCCCTCTGTAAGCCATTTAAATATTAGGCTTTACATCAGAATGTCAGTGCCAGGCAATTTCTGATCATCCGCTTATATGGAGCTCAAGAATAATACATTCGGTCTAAGTACTTCAAACATTTACCACTAACATTTTCACGGGAGCAAGTTATTAAGATGACAAGTTAATGCCAAAGCGCAGACAGAACATTAAACAGAAGGTCTAACGCATTGGCAGGTAGTACTTCTCAAAGCATCTAAAAACGAGAATGTAAATTGCAAGTCTGGTTGAAAAAAAACTCATAATCACTTCTCTAGCCATGCAATTGGTTACAATGCTAGCTTCAAACCAATCGAGGGGAGAGGTAAGTGGAGGGAGAGCCAGCCAGGTCCAAAGTACTCCAGGGCATTATCGATGACAAACCAGCCAGTGTGGCTCAATAGAAGGAATTGGAGGGCTCTCAATTGCAAGCTATGCAATATTAGCTGGTTGAACTCCAGGATTACTGTAACGCACACTCTGGCGTCCCCAAGCCTTGACCATCACCAAATTGAAGCTAATATTCCATGAAATTAGGTAAAATGGATGCATCTAGCAGGGAGAGAATGTGTATTGCAAACACAGGGAAATTTCCATTTGTAAGGTACAAACATATGTGAAACTCTCTAGTCTCGTACGGATCCACTTAGGCATGTGTCAGACATCCAGCTGAATTTTGTTTTGTAAAAGCAAACATCACAGCTCTTTAATTCTCTCCATCAGAAATCTTCCTCTATATGAAATTAATACTTAAACACGGACAGTCACGGCATTTATTTTTTAACCGCACTGTCAACCTCATTTACATTTAAAACAATATTTTAGGTAATTATGTAGACGATTAATAGAGAAGCCAGTCACATACCAGTTCTTGTAACCTCAGCAACCCCGGTAGCAGGTTTGCATCCATTTCCCGTAGCTTTTCAGCTTTATCCAATACCTTTAATAAAATGCACTGAATTATAAGATAATAAAGGATCCCCACTTTCTCTCCACTTTCCATCCAGTGACATTTTCTTAAAGGCTTGTTGCATGACATTTCGTAAATATTGACAGCTCGCCTCTACAAAGAGCAATCTCCCTTCTCCTGACGCCCGGAATAGTTGAATAGCACAGGATAGAATAGTTCCAATCATATTTTCTAAGGAATCCTTCAATATGAGTTTTGCACAATTGTTCCTTTGTTTTTGAAATCTTTGCCAACAAATGTAGTAGAAAGCGAAACCACTCTCAAATCATTTCCCCTTTAGTAATTTTACGTGTATATTTTCAGGAATAAGCCTTTTGAATTTTTTTAAAAAAAACATAACCAGCATAGCTCATATAACACACCAGCGATAAATGCAAATGGTGCAAAATACGAGGATATTAATATTGATATCAATGTTAAAAACCAGCAACCAAGTGTGAATTTATAACAATTCGCTTACGATGTAAATGGTTTGTTCGTGCAAATTCTGTTCATGGATCAGCTGCTTAAATAGTCGAACAAAGTCATTGAGCGTATCACATCGCAAAAATGAAGAGTATTCGTTTTCAGGGGAAAGGCAATGTCCCTGCAATTGGTTAAGGATTTGTTCGAAAAGCATCCTCGAAGAAAAGCACTCCACACAATTGACAATCACATGGGGAAGCTGAAAAGAAAAAAAAATTCCTTATGAACCATAACAGAACATTATGTACCAATCATCAGTTCTAAATTCTCACCAAATTTCAGCTATACCGGATGTGCATTCAGGATCCCTCACTCCAGTTTTTATAACAGCAATTGTTTTTCAGAAACACACAATGCTTCTGGGAAAAGCCTCAAAACCAACATCTTAAAATGTAACATTGCTCCAAAGCTGTTGTGCAATTTATTTTTCACGAAGAACTATCGTTTTCCTTATTCAAAAATTAAAATTGGTTTGAAAATGTCGATAAGGAGTGGCAGATTTCAATAATAAAGTTGCAATAATAGAATATTGTAGAAAATTATTCAGAAGCCCGATTTATACTTTTCTTTCTAAATCAATTTTAAATTGGGGCGCCCTTGCAGAAAACGATATGGTATTCTCCGCATGTTCACACTGGTTTATGTGAAGAACCCCAAATAGGGGGGCTATTTTATGTTATTTAAACAGCTGATCACAAAATGTGTCATACACCTGCAGTCTTTATACCATGTTGCTGAGAATCACAATGCTGCTGAAACCATCTCCTTGAGGTGGGGTCACACTTCAGAGACATGCTGCCTCAGTAAAACTTGCATCTTTATAAATCGTATTATCGCCCAAGTCCCATTAAGTTTCCTATCAATACGACTTAGATTTATTTGCTCAAGTCGTATTAATCACCATAGTAACAGACTGTTCAGCGTCTTGGAACATCCTCCCGACGTGAACGGCGCTTTATAAATGTAATGTTGTTGTTGTTGTTGTCTTGACCCATAACCGCATGCGCACTTACCGGCTGCATTGAATTACACATGCACAATGTAGATTGATTAAATCGGAAATCATACTAAATCCTATTAAATATTATGGTCCCGACTGATATGACTTATGTGAGTTTTACTGTATACTGCCCATTTGGTGGCAATTATTGAATAGTAACACTAGTAATAAGTCAGAAGAGTAGCCGCGCTCAGACTGATTTCTTCTCAGGAAATCAGCCTATAAAGCCTCCACTCAGGTACCTCAATCACCTGTATCTCCAGGGAAATGTTTGGACCAGACAAGCATAATGAGTGCAGTGAGAATGACAGCTTTCTTTAATTAATTACAAGCCATATTAGATCAAACAGATTTTATCACACATATCTTGAATGAATCTTTGCTTCTCTTTCTTTTCTCTGTCTGATATTCAGCAGAAAATTTAAACACACTAAAGTAGTAAACAAATTGCTATCCAAATATTTTACGTATGATACTAACTTTGCCAAGTTTCTCTTTCTCCTCATCCAACTGCATTTTCCGCCTGATTCTAATAAACATACCACATAATAATAATCCTTGTTGTTTGATATAGCGCCTTATCAGATTGTTGAGATGTCTCAAAGCGCTTTACAGAATATACTGTAAAGTGGATTGACTGTGTATTTTGTGGGCAAAAGGCAGCAGCCAATTGCGCACAGTAGTGTCCCACAAACAATCATGGTTTGAGTGACCATATATTTTTTTTACCTTGGAAAGCGTTCGCCAATCGACTAACAACCGTGTTTCCTACTTCCTGCTAGGTAAACCAAGGTGTGTGACGTAAGGAACCTTGCCTAAGCTTAATGCAATACTGCAATTGAGCAGAGAGCAAAAGCTCAAAAGGAATTTCAGCCTATTTCTTGCACACACATTTTGTTATCCTCAATTTTTCATGGTGCATTTACTCATATATGTCTCATTCATGGTTACAATGAGTACTACATGGAAGATGGTGGACCTTTAACCTGTGATTCTCATTGTTAACGATGAAAAATTGTATGTCAGACATTAATCCTTAGTTGCACAGCAGTGGAAGTGATGACCTTTGCACAACAAAGAAAAATGGACAGCAGGGAAGAGGTACAAAGGCAGTAATTCATCTAAAGATTCAAATTGTGGCACACAATACAGTACTCAAGCAATTCACAACCATCCCTAAAGCCCATCATTGAGATTGCAACATTTCAAGCACTCGGGGGAGAGAAATTTCACCCAGATCTAGATTTATTGGCTCTTTTAAGAGCTTCAGAAAAACATCAGCAAAGTCTGACAAGAAGTCACAGCTTTAGAATTCTGAAGGGTACCTTTAAGACCAAGATGTACTTACAGTATTTACACAGAGGGTAATTACAGCTTCAATGGTTTTTAGGCAAAAAATGGCAAAAAATTAATCATCCAAGACTTTGATAATGTTCCAATGAAACCATCATAGTCACAAGCATGGGGATAGTAATTTGATTCATAAGGTAATGTCACGCGCACTCTCCTGTTGATGCTGCAGGCTCAGTATTTCAAAACTCATGAGCTTCACATCATTACAATCAAAGGCAGTCCACGTGACAAATGGATTCAAACCTTTCACTTACCTTGCATGTTTTGAGCAACGTTTGCATCACATAAGTTTTCCCTGTGGCTGTATGTCCATAAACAAAAATTGAGGGGTAACTGTAGTGATGAGGCTGCAAGAAAAGCAAAACTTTTGAAGTCACCAAAATAATAGTTTTTCTTTTAATTCCCTTCTGCCCTCAAAACATTGTTAGCTACACAATTAGATACACAAGTGGCTTTTAAAAGACTGTGATTTCTGATCAAAATGCCGTTTAAAGAAAATAGGCAGACGTGTCGATTTTAAACTGTAAGAAACAGGAGTAAAATGAATGTTCACTAAGAAATGCTTTTATGCCCTTGATTCACAAATCAGCATTGTATTTTACTGCCAGGATGAAAATTCCACTGATTTAAGTCCCAGCATTCCAGCATTTTTAAACCAAAATCAACATTAAATATTGTATTTTACAGCATAACAGTGGATTCATAAACAGATTGATAGGTTTATAAAAATGTATGTGCCTACAAAAATTAAACTGTAAAATTACTGAGGATTTAACAAATAGCAATAGCAAGAAATAAAACTAAGAATAAAGAAAAATATGAAAGCGTGAAACATAAAAAGGAACAATTCTTAGAGCACCACAAACGAGTTATCTTTGTTGTAAAAATTACCTCTCCCATTATTGACAGCACAGTAGAAATTTGAGAGTCCCGACAAATCAACTTCTCTCGCAGAAGAAGGACTCTGTCATCTGCACCATCACCAGAATTAAGGTTAAGGGCAGACATCTTTAAACACTGTTTGCAGAGAAATTCTCCTACAGAAACAAGAAACAAAAGAACCAATTAAACCTACAAATGTTAAGATTGTGAATCAACACACTCCCTAAAAAATTTATGAGATTTAAACAATCCCTTCCATAGGCCTAAATAATTTATTCCAAATAACTTCGAAGGCTTAAAAGTACTATCAGTCAGTGGCCCAGGGCCTGCCAGTTTTGAACCACTAAAGAGGAATCAAATGGCATTCAATTCTGGCAATCAGAAGAATGATTAAAATGTTGACATTGTAAAAATAACCTCTCATCAGAAGGTTGACAGAATATAGGAAATAGTGCACAATAATGCAGTACGGTCCCCCTTTAAATATTTAGGAGTTTATTGACTCCGAAATCTCTCTAATCTAAACTGGAGTTTAAGAGTAATGAATAAGCCTCCATTTTAAAGAAAAAATAGGATTTTAGCATACAATTGCTACCCTTATTCTTCCTCTCAAAATATATACACTTTCACACTTTACTGGATCAAAGTTGATCTGCCATTGAAGATTTTAGTAAATGCTGGTAATAACACTTAGGCGTAAATTACAGATCGCCGGACGAGATCTCCCACCTCCATTAGGCCAGCTAGTCGGGGTTTAAGTGTAAACCTTGCAATTGATATAGCGCCATTCACGTAAACTACAGGAGGACATCTCAAAGTGCTTTACACGATTTTCACCCTGTTTGTATGACATTGCTGTGCAAAAGTTGGCTACCGAGTTTACCGACAAAGCATACGTTCACTACGTTTTGCGGTATTTCCTGTGAAGCTGGCCGAGACATCCTCCTGGCATGAAAGGCATAACTGTATGTTAACTGTAAGGATTATTATTATGTTAATCCAGGCCGGGCGGAGTGAAAACCCAGGGGTCATATGTGGCAGTCTAGGGCCATTACCCTTGGTAACAGAGACAAGAGTAGCAGGTGCAGAGGAACATTATTAGTTAAAGTCGTAAGTGAAGAAATGGGGAAATAAAAGCGAGTTATACCAAAGCAGACGGTGCCACGGCCAGAGGCAGCTGAACCTGGACACTGAGCACCACGGCCCAGGGTTTGCCACAAATTAAAATAGGTTTGTAGCCCAAAGTCAATCAAACACTAGTCCAAAAGTAGCCCGGTGTTGTGCGTCCCCTACTCTCGGTAACAGATTTATGGTTTAGTACTTTTGAAACTGTGTCAGAAAAGGTCCTTTTTTTAAAAAAAAGTTTTGCGGGTCTATTTTTTTTTAAATCACCCAACCCGTTAGGGCTTTGGCTTTGCAGGTTTATTAACAGGAGCTGAGCGGGAGGACAATAATAATAATAATAATAATCCTTGCATTTTGATATAGCGCTTTTCACGTCGGGAGGACGTCCCAAAGCGCTTCACAGAACACACTGTAAAGTGAATTGACTGCATATTTGTGGGCGAACGCGGCAGCCAATCGCGCACAGCAATGTCCCACAAACAGTCGTGGATTGAAAATGACCAATTTATTATTGTTTTGGGTTTTGAAGGGATTATTATTAGGCTCTGTGTGGAGTAAGGAAACTTGCCCAAGGTTTCGCCCTCTGCCTGGAATTGAACTCAGGTCTCTCACTTGCAAAGCGAGTGCTCTAACCACTGAGCCACAGGACTGCAATAACAATCCTTGCATTTGACATAGCGCCTCATCACGCCTTCGAGACGTCTCGAAGCGCTTCACGGGATGTGTACCGTAAAGTGGAGCGACTGCGTGTTCTGTGGGCGAAACGCGGACAGCCAATGGCGCCACAGGCGAGGCTGGGTCCCGCAAACAGGCGGGGATTGAAGCGACCGGATTACGATTGTCTTTCGGAGGAGAAGCGATTCCCTGCCCCCAGTGACCGGGCTCTGCCCCGCCAGGGCCTGCGGACCAGCCGGGCTGGGCCGGGCTACTGAGTGCCCTCCCTGGGTCACTGCGGACCAGCCGGGCTGGGAGTCCAGGGTCAACAACAAACAAGAGTCAGTACAGCAGCCCCCCCACCCCCGCCCCACCCCAATTGTACATGAACCCCACCCCCTCAATTATGCGTGAAACCCCCCCAATTATGCGTGAAACCCCCCAAATATGCGTGAAACCCCCCATTATGCGTGAACCCCCCCCATTGTGCGTGAAACCCCCCCCATTGTGCGTGAAACCCCCCGCCCAATAATGCGTGAACCCCCCCCAAATTGTGCGTGAACCCCCCCCAAATTGTGCGTGAACCCCCCCAAATTGTGCGTGAACACTCCCCCCCCCCCCCCGTCAATTGTGCGTGAAACCCACCGCCCCCAATTGTGCGTGAACCCCCGCGAACCTCCCCAATTGGGCTCGAACCCCCACCAATCGGGAGTGTACCCCCTCCCCCTCACCTCCCCCAGTCTGGCGACACCGCCGTTACCTGACTCACCTGCCCCAGGTCCCGGTTCCTCTCGGTCCCCGGTGTCCGGGGCCTCGCCTTCTCTCTCTCTCCCGCCCGCTCGGCCTCGCCGGTTGTCATGACAGCGCGGAAGCGCTCGCGCCAAATCGCTCCCTCCCCGGTGAACCCTCACCCCGAGGGGACTGCGCACGCGTGGAGGTGGGGGCGGGCGCGGTGCACTCTGGTCCTTGTAGTTCTTCCGCGGCTGTAGTTCACAGGCGGCTCTCAATGTGCTGCAGGTGGTGATGGTGATAGTAATCATAGCACTAACAAAAATAATAATGATACTAATAAAAATAATAACGATGCTGATAAAAATAATAGTGACACTGATAAAAATAATAATGCTAATAATACAAATAATGCTGATAAAAATAATAGTGATACTGATAAAAATAATAATTCTAATTATTTAAAATAATGATACTGATAAAAATAATAGTGATACTGATAAAAATAATAATGCTAATTAAAAATATGATACTGATAAAAATAATAATGCTAATAATAAAAATAATGCTGATGCTGATAAAAATAATAGTGATTCTGATAAAAATAATAATTCTAATTAAAATAATGATACTGATAAAAATAATAGTGATACTGATAAAAATAATAATGCTAATTAAAATAATGATACTGATAAAAATAATAATGCTAATAATAAAAATAATGATGATGCTGATAAAAATAATAGTGATACTGATAAAAATAATAATGCTAATAATAAAAATAATGCTGATAAAAATAATAGTGATACTGATAAAAATAATAATTCTAATTAAAATAATGATACTGATAAAAATAATAATGCTAATAATAAAAATAATGATGATGCTGATAAAAATAATAGTGATACTGATAAAAATAATAATGCTAATAATAAAAATAATGCTGATAAAAATAATAGTGATACTGATAAAAATAATAATTCTAATTAAAATAATGATACTGATAAAAATAATCGTGACAGTGATAACAATAATAATGCTAATAATAAAAATAATGATGACGCTGATAAAAATAATAGTGATACTGATAAAAATAATAATGCTAATAATAAAAATAATGATGCTGATAAAAATAATAGTGATACTGATAAAAATAATAATGCTAATAATAAAAATAACGATGACGCTGATAAAAATAATAGTGATAATGATAAAAATAATAATTCTAATAATAAAAATAATGATGATGCTAATAAAAATAATGATACTGATAAAATAATAGTAATAATGATAAAAATAATAATGCTGATAAAAATAATGATACTAATAAAAATAATAGGGATAACAATAAAAATAATAATACTAATAACAATAATAATAATACTAATAACAATAATGATACTAATAAAAATAATTTTAATAATAGTAATCCTTCCATTTGATACAGCGCCTTATCACATCATTGAGACGTCTCAAAGTGCTTCGCACGACGTACTGTGTATATTTTGTGGGTGAAACGCGGCAGCTGATTGCGCACGGCGGTGTCCCACAAACAGTCGTGGATTGAGCGTTCACATGATTATTATTACTATTTTTTTTGGAGGAATTATTACCCCGATCTGCCAATCGACTAACGACCGGGTTCCTACTCACTGCGAGGTGAACAGGTGCTGGAAATCTGAAATAAAGACAGAAGTCGCTGGGAATACTCAGCAGGTCAGGCAGCATCTATGTAGAGAGGAAAGTGAGGTAACGTTTCAGGTCAATGAGCTTCCGGAAGAACCTGGCAGACATCGACCTGAAACATTAACCCACTTTCCTCTCTCCATAGATGCGTTCATTACTGCAAAATTGGATTAGACCTTAGACCTGTGGTGGCCAACCTTTTTGGTCGGGCACCCAAATAAATGTTCTTCATTGAATATTTCTCGATATCTAGCCACACTATAAATGTCCCCATTCAGTAGCTATTGGAAACAAAACGTTGATCTCAAGCGCTCTGGGACTCTACCCGGCTATATAAATGCAAGCTGTTGTTGTTGTTGGTTGATTTGAAACAACAACACAACAATGTTTGGCTGACCACTTCTTGACAGGGGTTTGAACCCACAACCATCTAAACAAATGAAAGTGAACCATTTTATTCCATTTTCTCCATTCCACGCACAAACAGCAAAACGCAGAAAATGGCATCAGGTGCAGACTCACAGCAGTGGCCAATGTTTTAATTTCACTGAAGTTTTTGTGAAACAGTTCGTTAAACGCCAAGTTATATTTCTGGGCATGAGATTCCAACTTCTGCTGACTGAAATAAACAGAACATTTTGACAGGCACATCAGACCAATTAGTATCTAAAAGACAAAATAGTTTAATAAGAATTGGTCAATAATTTAATAAATAATTTATATAGCTTAATTAAAATAGTTTACTTTAATGACGCATTTCAGCTCTGCCCGTCAACAAAACTGATAATCCAACAGATTGAAACATTAACCTAAGTTTCTCCCTCCAATATTGGCATACTGATTGATACTGTTGTGCATTTTGTGTTTGTGTCACATTTCCAAAGTTTCGGAGATTTTAGCACCAAGAACTGAAACTCTGTGTGGTTCTAAATACCTTAATGTAGAGTCCTGTAGCTCAGTGGTTAGAGCACTCGCTTTGCAAGCGAGAGACCTGAGTTCAATTCCAGGCAGAGGGCGAAACCTTGGGCAAGTTTCCTTACTCCACACAGAGCCTAATAATAATCCCTCCAAAAACAACAATAAATTGGTCATTTTCAATCTACGACTGTTGTGGGACATTGCTGTGCGCAATTGGCTACCGCGTTCGCCCACAAATATACAGTCAATTCACTTTACAGTGTGTTCTGTGAAGCGCTTTGGGACGTCCTCCCGACGTGAAAAGCGCTATATCAAATGCAAGGATTGTTATTATTATTATAATTTTGAAAGCTGGAATGGCAAAAGATTCCAGGGAGTTTGAGCTAAGTTAATTGGGCACTGCACAATGCAACCTTTCAACCAATTGTATATAGTGCGAAATATTGATTGTCCAGTGCCTTGGGATGTTCTCCCGACGTAAAAGGTGCTAAACAAATGTCATTTTGTTGTTGTTGTATTTTGTAGTATTGCAAAATATTTTGTGGAGCTCAGTTCTTACAGCAGAATTAGCTCTCTGTTGAATGTATCTCCCTGCCTTAATACAAAATTGTATTAAGGCAGGGAGATTGAAAGCACGGTCGAAGAAGAGGCTCTTAAGGTGGGTCTTGAAGGTGGCGAGGGAGGGGGCGAGATGGAGGGACTGCGGAATGGAGTTCCAGAGGTTGGGGGCAGAGTGGCAGAAGGCCCACCGGCTGATAGTGGGGCGAGCGAGGCGGGGGACGTGAAGCAGGCCAGAACCCGCTGAGTGGAGGGAGCGAGCAAGGTGGTAGGAGGCTAGGAGGTCGGAGAGGTAGTGGGGAGCAAGACCGTGGAGGGCTTTGAAGGTGAGGACCAGGATCTTGAACTGTATCCTCTGTGTGATGGGAAGCCGGCGGAGTCGGGCGAGGATGGGGGTGATGGGTCGCGGAGCCGAGTGCGGGAGAGGACACGGGCTGCAGAGTTCTGGATGATCTGCAGCCTATGGAGGGAGGAGTTGGGGAGGCCGACAAGCAGTGAGTTTGCATAGTCGAGCCTCGATGTAATAAAGGCGTGTATGAGGGTTTCAGCGGGCGGCGACAGTCACCCAAGCAACATCTGAAGGGAAATGTTGGTGTCCTTTCATACGTATCTGCTTCATAGAGCTTTCTGAGGATCTAGCCAACACAGGTAGTCTACCAGGCTCTCATAATTCAGAGGATAATAATCCTTGCATTTGATTCCGTGCTTTATTTGATCCAGCACCTTGGGAACGTCCTCCCGACGTGAAAGGCGCTTTACAAATGTAATTTTGTTGTTGTTGTTGTTGTTTGTTGTTGTTGCTTTATCCCGTCAAAATGTCAGAGCACAGTTTTTTGTTAAGCGCAGTGATTATGAATTTATAGGTGAACGCAGCGGCCAACTTGAGTAGAGCAATATTCGACACACAACCATAAAGTGCATAAAGACATACGTTTGATGGATGCAAAATTTCCCAAGCTGCATGGATTATAATGAGCTTTAAGGAACGGTAAAGCAATGCAAAATCCCCGCTTCACTCTGCAGCTCTACAAAGAATCCAAATATCAAAAATTTCAACAAAAACTAATATCGTGTGATGTATTTTTAATAAAATTTCACCCCTGGCTACAATAGCAAAACTGCTGAGTTCTGTTGTTAAATTGCATTGCAAGAAAGGAGCACAGTGCTCCTTTTTCAGTCACTCTCAGGATCTCTGTAAAAACTGCGTGTGACGAGGATTGATATAATGTCTGATTTTTTTTAAAACACAATGACATGACTCAAACTGCCTGGTCTCGTGCAATCATCATCGTATCACTAGCCTTTCCAGTTGGTTATATTTCCGAGTGTAAAATTCCATCATGTGCTAACACTGTCATTTCAAAAACTCCCCCACAATATGCTGTGCGTAAATGATTGTAAATGTATGCAAACTACTTGTAATCATGTATCAACAAAGGCTGGAAAGAGAATAGCAGAACAATCAAGAACGCATTCTCAGTGGGAAGTCGGTTGAAATGCAAATCTACAGAATTTAACAGAAGCCGAGCAACAAAGAAAGATGGAATCAGAAACAGCTCGTCACACAGCTAGGGAGTCAAGCAAAGGATCGAGTCCCAAAAAATTGAACGAAGGCTCACGACAGTTATATGTGAAATTAATATTAATCACAGTTTCCAGGATGAATACATTTTATTCTTAAGGTGCGTGTGGGCCCTGTACCTGGAGGTAATAGAAGAAATTAATTATTAAATCCATTTGTACTTCACTGGACGAAAATGGGAGAGCAATTTGCTATGTCTTGATGAAGGGGGGGAAAAGTACAAACCCTGGATCTCCCTGGTTGAATTTTGTGTTGCACATCGGGTATTAGTTCTCAGACAGAATTCAGGAGCGATGAGATACAAATTGGGAAAGGGTTGTAAGAAATGAGGAATGCACTGCCACTGAAAGCAAGATACTTGGGATAAGAAAAAAGGCAAGAGAAAGTGAGTAGAAGGATTAATATAATTTCGTAAAAGG